CCACCTCATATCAATCAATCAATCAATCAATCAATCAATCAATCAATCAATCAATCAATCAATCAATCAATCAATCAATCAAAAGAAAAAACAAAAAAAAAAAAAGGCCGCGCGCATTTGTGTGTATGTGTGTGTGTGTGTGTTGTCATATTCGCTATACACTCAAAAAAAGCATGACTCTGTGTGTGTGTGTGTGTGAGGCGATAAGAAAGAATGAACCTAGGCGCCATATCGAGCCAGGTACATTTGACAATAGGGATAATGGAGGGACGAGCTTGGGCGCAGCGAGGAGAAGGAAGCTCGCGCAATACTTCACRGACCAGGCAAGAGAGAGGTGGATACGGGGGGTTTTCGGGGCTGGCCACCCCGGATTTGAAGTTAGTTTTGGTAGAAACTTAATAAAAAGAGAGTTAGAGTATAAATGGGGACACAGAAGAGTCGACAGAAGGAAAAAAAGAGAAAACGGGGATAAAGCAGACAAATCTCAGTCGATTTTTGACCGTTTTCTGCACGGTAGGATGCTCAGTTGGGGTTTTGGGGTATTGTGAGTATGATGGCGGTGTTAGTATCGCCTATAGATTAGTGGTTTAGCCAGGACCAGTGTTAAAAGCTGCGCCTAGAAGTAAAGACGACAAATCTGGGCGCGTTTTAGTGGGAGATTCGTTCTCATATTACACATTTGGCCAGCAATGGAGCACGACCGTAGCCGTTGATCGCCTTGATTACGGCCCGTCCACTTCACATCAATCAATCAATCAAAAGAAAAAAAAAAGAAAAAAAAAAGAAAAAAAAAACAATCAATTAATCAATCAACCAATCAATCAATCAATCAATCAATCAATCAATCAACCAATCAATCAACCAATCAATCAATCAATCAATCAATCAATCAATCAATCAATCAATCAATCAATCAATCAATCAATCAATCACTAAATCAATCAATCAATCAACCAATTAATCAATCAATCATTTTTATTTTTATTTTTAACCCCGAGATCAAAAACAAAAAATCTTTTTTTTTTTTTGTTTTTTTCGAATGGAGGGTTACCCCTTGACACTCGACCCCCCCCCAGCCCATCCACCCCCTCAACACCCCCCCGGAAGGCCACGTGCGGAGTGTCGAAAGTCTGTACGTACGGGCAGTACGGGCGTCGGGGGGACCGTACGTACGGACGTCCAAACGTACGGACGGGCCGTATTCGTACGACCGTATACACTGCCTTCCCCGGAAACGTTTGAGGGAAAGCCCATGAATGCCACGACTGAGTGACTTACACACTCTTATCTTACGGTATGTGGCACATGTGAGCTCCGCGTCGATCCTCGAGATATACATTGACGCATAAGTGTGTGAGCAAGCGGGAGCTTGCTCAAGATTAGATCCCCCTGGGCGTCACATATGTGACGAACCATTTTTTGTAATTGCACGACTCTCTGCACAAAGTTGCCTAGGGGAAATGGATGGGTCGGATGGATGAGCAGTGGAAAGATGGGTCGGTCGGGCAAATTGCATGGATGCCCTCGTTTCTTTTTGTTTTTTGTGGGAATCTGTTGGGTCGGTGTTGGGAAAGTCCCACGCCAACGATTGGGTAACCGCTCCTTAGCGAGCGTGACGAACAACGGTGGTCATGGCTTCTTTCATGTTCTGCTGAGAGCACTAGGAATTTTTGGCGCGATCATCGCGCAGGAATATCGTTTTTGAATTTCGAACTGACGACGAGCCCCCACGGGCTCGCAAAATTGTTTTTGGGCTTTTCGAAATTTCTTTTTTGCAATTAGGACTTAGGCTAGAAATTTAGGTACTCTGAATTTTGGTTCGCCACGCTTCTCACTCCCTCACATCTTGTGTAACTGTCGTTTTTGGCGGGCGCGATTGTAACTGTATCTTTCTTCTTTCTTGGTTTCCTTGTGTTTGCCCGCCTTCTTCTTCTTGCATGCTTAATGCTCCGTTCTAATTAGCCTGAACGCCTGTACGACTCGATCAATGCGTGGAGTGCGGCTACGACCCCCACGCCGCGGCCTGGTCATGAAGACGTAGGCACTTCCTCTCTTCTCCTCCTTATCGCTTGGGCTTAATCCATATCTTTCGCACAAGCATGCATGCTATAAATTTGGCAAGCACAATTAGTTTGCTCTCTATGAACTTTGGAGTTAGCGCGATCAGTGAGGTGCAACCTATGAAACACGCGTCTGCGGGGTCAAGCTCGAAGGGCGGACGTGATAACGGTCGCCGCGGCTCCGGCCGCAGTTGGGTGCGGCCGCGACTTTCAGGATTTTTTTGTGACCTTAAAATTTTATCAAAAAACAAAACAAAACATATGGGGTTGTAGATCTTTTTGAGATCTAAATTGCGCAATTTTTTCTTTTATTTTTTGACTTTGTCTTCGAATTTTAAAAATTCAAAAACTAATTTTCCTGGGCAAAAGCTGTTTGTTTGTTTTTTTTCCAAAAAAAAAACATGAAACGCATGTGATTTTTTATTTTAAATTCAGTAACGTTTTTGGATATGACCACAAGGCAAAAGTTGTTCAGTATATTTTTCTGCATAACATATGTTTTTTTCAGAATTTTTTGAAGTTTTTTTTTTTTTTTTTTTTCATGGCCGCGGACCGCGGACACGTCCGAGGGGTCGCGGCCTAGGCCGCGGCCGCGGACTTGTCCGCGGATGGCCGCTGCCGAGGGGGATTCGTAGGGTTCAACTAATGAGTCAGCTTGAGAGGTGAGTCGACAAGAGAGTTGGACAATCCGACGAGCTGGTGTCGGGTATGAGGTGTTGACGTGCGGGCCGCGACGAACTGTGGTGCACGGGGGAACCTGGCTTGCATGCCCGAACCAAGCGGGGTGACAACTCTGTGTTGATGCGCGGCGACGGACTGCCTGCATCGGGGAACGTAGAGAGAGAGGGTGAGAGAGAGAGAGAGAGAGAGAGAGAGAGAGAGAGAGAGAGAGAGAGAGAGAGAGA